ATTTACATGGAGTTCTGGTGTGGTGCTATAGGATAAGCACTTTACTGCTAACTTTTAGATTGGCAGTTCAAACCCACCAGTTGCTCCTTGAAAACCCTATATGGGTTACTATGAGTAGGAATTTGACAGCACTTAATAACAGCTACCTACACAATCATATAAATTTAAGAAATCTTACTTCCAATTTTATACAGGTAGCACCCCAAACAAAAATTCAATTATAAACTTCTACCTGAAGTCTTGTGTGCATAACCTGCCACTTGTGAATATTTTGCATACATAGATATCCTAAAGCGTGATCTAGATGAAAAGGTGAGAGGAGGTTGAAATCCCAGATTAAATAATGGGGATCTATAACTGGTGGTGTAAGAAGCAGAGGAAGAGGACATTTTAAAACTTTATATATAAGGCTGCTTTCCTTGAGATTGGGATAACCAATCCACTACCAGTCAATTGCTCAATTTTAATAACATCTCCACTCATTTGTTTACAAACTCCTGCCCATCCTTAAACTGATACAATTTGATGAACTTGACCTACACCTTTGGATGCAGTAGTTCAAAAGAGGAAGCAAATCTTTATAGTAAGGATCATTCCCACCCCCTCCATACACAGAGTAGACAGGGATAGGCAACTTGGACATTGGCTACCCAAAATGGGGGGGAGGGGGGCTTCAAAGGCAAGAAGTGACTGGCTTACAAACTTTCAAGAGGGAGCCTAGATCCAGAAGGCATGGAGGAAGGTAGAAGCTCCACTGAGCAGTATCCAATCTGTCTAGGCGGGGCTGATGAAAGGAGATGCAGATGGGTCTCTTTTGATGCAATGGTGAATAATTATTATCAGGACTAATTGTGAGGGTTGGAAATGTAAAGGTAGACATTTTGTAGCAAGGAAGGGAGTGATTAACTTTGCAGTCTAGGAGCGGAGGTCCCTGTGACAATCAAAGAAGAAGAGTGGAGAGCAAGACCTTACCCAGAGAAGCAGTGATGCCAGAGATGGAGGCAGAGACAATGATATGGAGAGATGGAGTGGCTGGGAACTTTAGACTCAGAAGGGGAGAGGGGTTGTGTGTTGACAACCAGGGGCAGGCTTGCAGTGTATACCCTTTAATTGGTTGATGATGCATGAAGGAGATTATAGACACGGAAATGAAACTATATAAAATAGAATGAATGTAAAACTAATGTTCTCCCATGTAAACTATCACATAATTCACAATAAAACATTTTAAAAATATAAAAAAGCAAAAACAAAAAAGAAACAATGGAGAAGCTTGGTACCATCGACCAAAACAAGGCCAGAGACTGACTGTGGAATAGAACATCAGTTGCTCATATGGAAGTTCAGGTTAAAGCTAAAGAAAATTAAAACAAGTCTATGAGAGCCAAAATTTGACTTTGAGTATATCCCAGCTTAATTTAGAGACTATATCATGAACAGATTTGATGCTTTAGACACTAATGACAAAAGACCAGATGAGTTGTGGGATGACATCAAGAACATCATACATGGAGAAAGTAAAAAGTCATTTTAAAAGACAGCAAAGAGAGAAAAAATACAAAATGGATGTCAGAAAATGCGGAGAGACCAGCTCTCCGCGGGGGTAGTGGGACACGAGAGGATACGCGGAATCAGCAGATGAAGAAATGAATACAATCGAGAGGCTTTTCAGCTTGCTGGGCTGTCCAGCTTTTACTACTGCTCCTCCTGCTACTGCTGTCCTTTGCTGTCTCTCCTCTGTCCTTTTGTCTCTGCTCCTACTCCCTGCTCCTACTTCCTGCTACTGGTGTCCTCCCACAGCCCAGCAAGTCTTTATTTTTATACTTAAAACTACACAGTACATAATGAATTAACACTTTGATCTTTTCTTGAATTATTACACAGTAAATCACAACATTCTTGCACCTGGTCATTAAACAACTTTGACAAAAATATTTCTGTGATGTTCAGACTGACTTTCATCTCTTTTCTCAGTATGTGATAAATGGTTTCTTCTTGTTTCCACTTAAAGATTGTCAAACCTTACACAAATCATTGCTACTTATCAGACTACTGATTACACTTTCTTAGTAACATAAGTTTCTACTAATCATTAATGCTTGCACTACCTCATTATTCCTACTAATTATCAACTTTCTACCCTGCATAATGTATTATTATTTTCATAATAAAGGTATAACTTACATCTACTTATTTATTTTTCTAAAGTATTCATTAAATTGCTTGGAAGTTATGTGGCATAAAGCCCAACCTGTCTAATTGCTGCAGGAAGTATAGACTATTAAATCAAAACTATCTTTCACTTAAGTTCATTACTTTCTGCTTGTTTATGCAGGTGCTTGTATGTAGGGGTTTGTGAATTCTAGTTAGTGACTGATTGTGGTGAGGTCTATGGGGGTGGGTCAGCTTGGCTTTAGTTTGCTATCTGCTTTTATGGTCTCACAAATGCAGTTACTTAGGTTTTCTAATGAAAGGGAGTAATTTACACAATTTCTCTTTGTATTCAATCCACCAAAGCTGAAAGCAATTGCTGATAAGCTAGTTTTTCCTAAGGTTTGAAAAATTCATAGTGAAAGGTTGTGAATATGGCCATATTATATCTTTTTATAAGTAAAATTAAGATTACTCTAAAGACAAGGTAGGAAGCAACTTCTGAGAGCCATCTGTCTTGCAAGATGACTCCACTATTTGCCGGAACTGTGTCAAGCAGCAAATTAAGCTGTCCTCTACCCTCAATGGCTCCCAGCAAGAAGAGACTCTGAAACGTGGTATTGGATGTATAGAAGCTAAAGTAACTGGGAGAAATGCTGAACCCAAGATTTCAAAAGGTAGCTTGAGAAAATTAAGTAAAGTATTATAATGAAATGTTGCACAGATTGGGAGTTAGAAAACCAGAAGGGAAGAATACGCTCAGCATTTCTCAGGATGAAAAATCTAAAGACAAAATTTAGGCTTCAAGTTTTAACACTGAAGATTCTATAGGCAAAATATTGAATGACACAGGAAGCATCAAAAGAAGATAGAAAGAATACACAGCCACTGTGGTACTAATTCTGGCCTCTCAAGGACTGTGCCTTGCTCTCAGGAGCTGTGAGTATTTCAGGTAGAACCTGCTTGTGTCTCCATCTCTGCTGTGTTTCTCATTACCTCTACTTTCTTTCCTGCAGTGTATCCTAAGAAAGAAAGCCTAATTAGAACAAATTAACTGCAACCAACTCTGGTCTGACTGCGACCTGAAAGGGAAGAAGTTCCAGCCAAAACCTACCAATGTCAGTTATTGAGGGTTTATTTTCCACACATGTTACATATTGATTTTCAACTTCTGACTCTGGCATGGCACTTAATTTCTCTGATCATTGACATGTTTCCTTATCATTGAAGTGGAAATAACAATTTCAATGCTTCCTAATTCACAGATGGGTGGAAAGATCTAGATAAGTAATTGAGAAATCATTATTAATGTGATTTACAATTATTCATAGGTAATTACCAAACATCTAGAATTTTTTTTTTTTTAAAGACTCTTTCTACCTAAAACGGACCTCAATTCCTGAGAAGCTTCCAACCTGAGCTATGCGCAGAAGAAAAAGCAAGGGTCTATGACTCCATAGTAGCTAAAAGTAGAGTATCATTTCCCTGAGGCATTTGTGTTTGTATCAGAAGAAATCATTAGATCATAGGGGGGAAATAAGGGAAGTAGGAGTCTAGGTTCTTGCAATGCCCTTCCTTCTTGGACAACTCCCAACCTTCCACACCCCAGCTGATGTAGACTAAGAGATTGTTTTCAAGGCTAAATAATATAGACAGAGCAGTGATACAAATATAAACAAAGATATATAGGTTTCTAATTCCTAAACAGTATTCTCTGAGAAAACAGTGAGTTACAAGATAAAGCAGAAAGATGCATTTGTAAAAGATGGTGTATGAAGTTTTCTGTTTGTAGCAGAATTGCACTTGTCTGGATTAATATTAAAGGAATACTCTTGTATCTGAGTTTGCATTAGCATGAGAAAAAAAGAGAGAAAAAGAAACATAGCAATATGTCCACCACCCATTTGATTTATGTTCCTAATATTTCTTCCACTATATTGGGCCTTAGGGTGAGGAATTCAGAGCTCATAACCTTTTGTGATGATTGTTTCGTTTCTTTGTCTCATAAAAGACATGTAAATGTAGTATTTCTGCCTTAACTGTGTATCTGTGTATCTCCAGTCTTTAGTGGATACTTGGCACACAATTGATGCTCAATAATATTTTGGTAATGAACTAGTAAATAAATGAGCTGCTCACATTTTTGTTGAAGATGTAAAATAAATGTATGTGCAAACAAAAAGTTGCATGCTGTACAAAGAGATGTCATAAAATGCATCTTTTTCAACGTGTTTAATGAGAAGAATTGGCCATGAGGATAAAGAGGTAAAAAGAAGAAACCAAACAACATATAGGCTGACTCAGTTTAAGAATACTTTCCAACAGAGTTGTTTGATTTGAAACTTATAGCATTGGAATGTTCTAAATTCCCAACAAGGAAACGTATAGGCAGAAGTGGAAAATCACCTGTAAGAGTTGATTAAAGACATATTTCTGCATCAGATGTCATGTTGATCCTCACTGAGGTCCTGAGTGGATAGCTTACCAAATTCTCAATTTAGAGATAGAAACTCAAATGCTCACTGTCTTCTCTTAAATAAATCAACTTGGAAATGTCTTTGTATACTTGGGGGGTCACAAAGGATAGTGATTGGAGTCACTTTCAAAATTCCAATAAGAATGAGGATTCTTTGAGAACACAACAAAGGCACCAGTCTGAGACCAGAGGCTACCAAGGTACACAGACCTATGGACCCTGGTAAGATTTTGTGAATTTCAGGACAACACTAACATTTTTTAATTACACTGGGAAATAACTAAACATGGAGACTCTGGCATCCACTTAACTACTAAACCTCTGCCTCAACTCCAACATTCAAACTGTCCCATACTTCTCCATGCTCTTCGGTTTATGCAGTCTTTCTTAAGAATAGTTGTATGACTCGCTCACGAATCTGCTTGGTCTTAACACCATAGATGATGGGGTTGATCATGGGTGGGAAAAGTAGATAGAAGATGGCAAGTAGTATGTGGACATGGGGGGCAACCCTGCGGGCCACACGATGCATAACTGAGGAGATGACCACGGGTGTGTAGAAGGCTAGAATGGCACCTATGTGAGAGACACATGTCCCAAATGCCTTGTAACGGGCCTCCTGAGAGGCAAGCTGTAGAACTGCTCGAAGGATAAAAATGTATGATAGAATAACAAAGAACAGATCCAACACAACAATAAACATGGCCACAGCAATGCCATAGATGTTATTGAAGCGGGTGTCTCCACAGGCCAGCCTTACCACAGCCATGTGCTCACAGTAGCAGTGTGCAATCACTGGGCCTCGGCAATAGTGGAAGCATCTGAGCAGAAAGGGGAGTGGAGTCATTAGAGTCACAGCTCGGCCGACAGCAGCAATGCCAATCTTGGTGATTAGGGACCCAGTTAGCACCGTGGTGTAGTGAAGTGGTTTACAGATGGCCACATAGCGATCAAAGGCCATGGCCAACAGTATGGCTGACTCCATGATGGAGAAGGAGTGGAGAAAGAACATCTGAACCAGGCAGGCATAGAAGTTGATCTCTCTGTCCCTGAACCAGAAAATGGCAAGCATTTTGGGCAGTGTTGAAGAGGACAGAACCAGGTCAATTGTTGCCAACATGGCCAGGAAGAGGTACATGGGCTCGTGGAGCGCTGCATCAGAGTGGATGATGAAGAGCAGGGTGCAGTTGCCCAACAGAGCCAGTGAATAGGCTGAGCAGAAAGGGATGGAGATCCAAGTGTGCAGGTGTTCAAGGCCTGGGATTCCCATCAACAAAAAGACAGCTGGATGGGTTGAGGTCATATTGGAGGCTGACATAGCCACAGAGTTCTCGTCTTCCTTGTGTACTTCCACAGGACTGCTTTCAGAGCGTATCCAAGGTCAGCTTCAAACTCTGGTCACCCATATAGGTCTTTAGCCCTTGCTCTCTTATCTAAATGAAATTGGGAAATTATTGCAGTGTACATGGAGAAACATAATACCTGTCCTTTGCCTGCAAGGCAGTTATAAACCATTTGGTGATCAGGATATCAAATGCCAATAGAGCAAGTCTTTATAGAGTATGGAATAGAAAGAGATTTCTGTTGTCTTCATGTTGCCAAGAGCAAGTTTATAAAAAGTGTACATTGCTTTTTATATTAAATCTTTATCTGAAAGCATCCACTGTGAGTCCTTGGGTGATGGCATAAATGATTAAGCACTGGGCAACTAGCTGAAATATTGGCAGTTTGAACCTACCTAAAAAGGAGTCCTGGTGTGGCGCTGTGGGTTAATGCACCAGACTGCAAAGCTATTTGAACTGCAAGGTTGGTGGTTCAAGATCACCAGCTGCTCCTCGGAAACCCTATACAGGGTCGCTATAGATCGGAACTGACTTGACAGCACTTAACAACATCAACAACAGATGCCTAGGAAGACAGTCTTGGAAACTCTGGTTTCTTGCCTTCAAATTTAATTTCATAAATCACTATTCACTATTGTCTCCATTATGTGCAGCCTGCTCAATTCAGAAGAAAGAACATTCAAACGAATTGCCACAGTGTTGGAAAACATTTTAGAATTGAAGACTTGGGCTAGAGATTGTGCCAATTCTCTACTTGCAGAAACTTTTAAGAATCACTTATATGAAAGAGCTTTAAAAAGTTTGTGGAAAACAGAATTCAAAGGTAATGAATGAAACTTTCCACAAACTTTTTGGAAGCTCCCTCATATGTTTAAAATTGAGCCCCCACATCTGTAATCAAAGATAGTATCCATATCTCTCATGCCCATCTTACAGAGTTTTAGTGAAAAAAGATGAATCATATATGAGAAAGACTTAGTAAACTGTAAAGCAATACACAAATACTATTTGTCATTACTATCTCCCTCTTGCCATGTAATTCTGCCCTTTTGTCTAAACATGCTAATTTTGGTTATCATCAATACAATCTTTTCCTCCTTGGCCTAATCTACTTCTCTATAATACTCCTTAACTCTGCTCACCTATTAAAAAAAAACTTGCTTTAAGAAGTTGGTAGATTTTTTTCCCCTGGAGCAGTTGGGTGATTTCAAACTGTTGACACAACACATAGTTTACTTCCCTGCTGACAACCATTTATGGGATCCCAATTCTATAAGAAAAATAAAAAGTACTAGACATCTTTACAAGGAGGTCTGGTAGTGTTACAAGTTGGACTGTCAACCACAATGTCAGCAGTTCAAAACTACTTATTATTCCACAGTAGAAAGATGAGGCTTCCTGTTCCCATAAAGATTTACAGCCTCAGAAATCCTACGAAGGGTCACTATGACTTGAAACGGACTCCATGACACCCCCACCACCAGACACCCTAACAAGCTTCTTCCTTCCTAAATTGTTAGCTTCACCTGCTCTCAAGCAGTCTTATGTTTGCTAAGTGCGCTGTCTTCCTTAATTCCCATATGCTCCTGCTGAACATCACTGGCCTCCAGTTTAATTGCCCACACACCTCAGTCTCACAACTTACCTATTCTGTTTAAGATGCCTAATGATTCATCAGACTTCTTTCTTTTTGGTGTCCTCTGTTCTTCTGACCCACTTTTGGCTCAAGGTGGTCTCACCTTCTGGATGAAGTTCAATTCTTAGTATGTTCTGCAGGTTTCAAGAAAAAAATGAATTCCATGCTCCTCTTAGCTAAGAAAAGAGTAGAAAAGAGGGAATTGAAAAAGGAAGATCTGGCTTTATCCTTATAATATATTTCTCTTTTCCCAAAAGAAAAATTAAAAGCAGTGCTATCCCTGAGGAACAGAATGGCTATTCTCTTATTTAGAGGTGACTCCAGGGGCCTTCTCCGCCTCAGTCTTCAGTCTGCAGTGTGGGGGGAGGGGGGGCAAAGTGGGGGCGGAGGACCCAACAGCCAGCCCCTGTCTTTCTACAGATACTACTCTCTTCCCATTGTATACCTTTCAATCATGTCTTCCTCGAGGCAGAGTTTCAGTAATCTCTTCACTTAACCTTCCTTCCCTGTAGTACAAACTGACAAATAGTACCTTCTTAGAATATACAGATGAATGTTTATCTTATATGTGTTCTGGTTATGACTTGGAAAGTGAGATTTAATCATAACTAGTAGAGGCTATTTATTATTATTTGTGTTTAATCTGGTTTGCTTTGAGGTTTGGTATTTTGTTTCATTTTATGTTCAGATAGGTGCGTGACATACTAGATAGAGCTGCAGATGAAGGTATAGGTGTGCATCTAAGTTAAGTACCAATTATGACCTCTCTATTCCTTGAATTGTTTTCTAATCTATGAAGTGAGATCAATAATCCTGGTCCTAATCCTCACAGGATCAGGGAGAGTATCCAATGAGATAATTGAGGAATAATTATAAATTTTAATATTAATTATTGCTCATAAATTATTCATTATTAATGATAATACTGAAGGGTAATACGTTTTTCATATGACTGAAGATTTGGGAAATATTAATATATTAAGAAATTTACAAGAAAATGCACAAAACAATGAACTTGGCACAGGACCGTATGCAGAACAAAGAAACCAGCAACCCACAAACAAACACACACACACACACAAACCCCAGCAAAATGAATGGAGTGAATTCATACCTGCTGATAATTATGCTGAATGTCAATGTATTAAATGCACTGGTCAAGCAACATAGAGTAGCAAAATGGATAAGAAAGCAGGACCCTTCAATATGCTGTCTACAAGAGACCCACCTCACACACAAACACAAAAATAGATTTAAAAATTAAAGGATAAAAAAATACATCAAGCTAATTACAATCAAAACCAAGCAGGAATAGCAATATTAATCTCTGAGAAAATAAACTTTAAGGCAAAAACAGCATAAGAGACAAACAAGGACATTATCTCATGATTAAAGGGTCAATTGAACAAGAAGATATAACCATAATGAATAGCTATGTCTCCAATTAAACAACCTCAAAATACATAAAAAAGAAAGAAATAGACAATGCTATAATAATAGTTGTTGATGTTAAGTGCCGTCAATTCAGTTCTGACCAATAGCAACCCTGCATAGGTTTCCTAGGAGCAGATAATGGGTTTGAACCACAAACCTTGCAGTTCAATTTGACCTTGCAATTCTGCATTATCATGCAGTGCCGCAGATGTTAATACACCACTCTAGAAAAAGGACAGAACAACCAGAAAGAAACTCAACAAGGAAAAAGAGGAACTGAAAAAACATAACCAATCAACTTGATCTCACAGATTTGTACTGAGCATTCAACTCAAGAACAACACAGTACACATTCTTTTCCAGCACATGGAACATTCTCCAGAATATACCAGGTGTTAGGCTAAAAGACAAATCTCAAAAAATTTTAAATCATCAAAATACTACTAAGTATCTTCTTAGATCACAATGACATTAAATTAGAAATGTTGTTGTTATTAAGTGCCATCGAGTAGGTTCTGACCCATAGCAACCCTCTGGAGGGTTTCCAAGGAGCGACTGGTGAGCTTGAAACACCAACCTTGCAGTTCAAACTGACTGTGCAGTCTAGCGCACTAACCCACAGCACCACACCAGGACTCCAAAATTGCAAATGAACAATAGGAAAATCAAGTAAATGGGATAAAATACATGGAAACTGAATAACACCCTGTTTAAAAGCTACTGGGAAGTAGAACAAATTTTTTAAATAATAATAATAATACTTGAATCTTATGAGAACAAAAAGCAACATATGAAACCTTTGGGACAGAGCAAAGGCAGTGCTGGGAGGGCAAACTGTAGCAATAAAAACTCACATTCTAAAACAAGAAAGAAACAAAATCATCACAGTAACACGACATCTCCTACAATTAGAAAAGACCAGCAAAGTAAGCCTATAGTCACCAGAATAAAAGAAATAATAAAGAAATAAATGAGATAGAAAACAGATAAACTGTAGAAACAATCAACAAGACAAGAAGCTGGTTCTTTGAAAGAATTAATAAACTCCACAGACCATTAGCAAGTCTAACAGAAGAAAAAAGGGAAAAGATGCAAATAACACACATAGAAACCATATAGGTGACATCACAACAGAGCCATGGAAATAAAAAAGAGAATAACAGAATACTGTGAAGAGTTGACCTCCAACAAATTTGAAAATTTAAAAGAAATGGATACATTTTTAGAAAAACACTACCTACCTAAAATAATATGGAGTGAATTAGAAATCTTAAACAGATCTATAACAAAAGAAGAAATTGATTAGGTCATTAAAAGTCTCACAATCATTAGCCACTGTTGTTGTTAAGTGCGGTTGAGTCCGTTCTGACTCATAGAGACCTTGAGATTCAAATGACATTGCAGTCCAGTAGAGATGTAAATCAAAATAACAATGAGATATCATCTTACACAAACATTAACAGTGAATTAAAAAAAAAACAACAACACAGAAAACAATTGCTGCTGAGGGTGTGGAGAGACTGGGACCCTCCTGCATTGATGACAGGACTGTAAAATGGTTCAACCACTCTGGTGATTCTTCATATCAGAAATAGAAATACCTTATGACCCAGCAATCCCTCTACTTGGTATATATCTACAAGAAATACTCGCCAGGAGACAAATAGATATATACATACTGATGTTCATGGCAACGCGATTCACAATAGCAAAAAGATGGAGACAGCCTAAGTGCCCAACAATGGAAGAATGGACAAACAAACATTGGTACACACAATGGAATACTATGCAACCTTGAAGACTAACAATGAATCTGTGAAACACTTCATAACTTGAATGAACCTGGAGCACATTATGCTGAGTGAGATTAGTCGATCACACTGGACAACAACCGTTGTATTAGAC